AGAGAGAGAGAGAGAGAGAGAGAGAGAGAGAGAGAGAGAGAGAGAGAGAGAAAGAGAGGCTAAGAGGAGTTTCAGCAGACAGGCCGAGACAAATTTAATCAGCATTATGTCATGACTCGGTGGAATTGGACGCTCGTCAAGTTTTAGGTATATGATAGAGTTATTTGTATAATCTTATAGCCTGCCACTTTGTTCTGCTTTAGATAAAAAAAAGATACCCATATATTCTAAAGTAGTGCCATAAAACCTCAAAGCAATATTACCCATCCACACCCACCCCCTCCAAAACGAAAAAAAGAAAAAAACAACAACAACAAAATACAAAAAGAAAAAGAAAGACAAACGAAAAAAAAAAGATTATTGTACATGAACTTTCTGACTAAAAATCAATCAAGACTCTCCCTCCCTACTTTGCTTGTCAACAAAAAACTATGACAATGTTGCTGCTGCTGCTGCTGATGATGATGATGATGAGTATGATGATCATGATTTCGAAAATGACAATTTAGATGCTAATGATGACACTCACCTCAAGTCGAAATGGACTCCAACAAGAGGATTGGTCTCCAAAGCGGGACTTCCGAATGCCAGACGGATAAGATTTTTGCCCTGTTTCACAGCCGCTTCGTCTGTCGACAACATCCCTCGTTTGATTAAAAGATGCGTGTATAGTCAAAGTGATGATGATGATGATGATGATGATGATGATGATGATGATGATGATGATGATTCTTTTCTCTGATACTATGTTCCTGATGAAGCCTTATTGGCGAAACGTTGAACAACCAGGCCTATACGAACATCCGATGAAACGGGAAATCCCTATTCAAGTCTCACGTATAATTTTTTCTACTTTAAAACACGATGATGATGATGATGATGATTTCATACTGTCATAAAACTTACATTATTATTCTCAAGTATCCATCAATGAGTGTTTTGTCATATATTGCACTTACAACATCCATGACGATGATGATGATGATGATGATGATGATGATGATGATGATGATGATGATGATGA